TGCTGCCAGACCTGCTGAGTTTTTCCAGCAACTTTGTTTTTGTTGCCGCTTTGTTATCGTCCATGCTTCGCTTAAGGTTGACAGGGAGTGTCAAGAGGCTACCTATTGCTGGAGGGTTTTGCTGCCAGTTCTGATTCTGTCCTCACCAGACCACATAATCTGCATGAGTTATTGAATAATGATCAGGAAGATGGAAGGGCCCTCCCTAGCTGTATTTTATTCTTTACCAGCTAGGGGGCAGAGGACATTTGAACATCCAATGATACTGTTCAGTTGTAACCACCTAACTACAGATCCAAGAATAAAATCTTGTAACATTTCATTTTACTTTTCATCACCATTTTCCTAAAATTAATATTCATAGTAAATGGTGTTTTTTTTTTTATATGTTGTCTTCTGCTAAAATTGATTAAATTAAGATTCTTAAACCTTTTACTCCATGGGTTCATCTGAAGTAATCTCTAAATTGCCTTTTCTTTAACAGGGCAAGGATATGATAACACAAAAACTTCCGAGCTGGCAACAGGCTTGTAGCGATCCTTCCAAAATTCCTGAACGGGCAATGTCGTTGGTGCAGCAGATGTCTTCAGGCAATGGAGGAACCCTCATCTCTGAACCTGTTGCTTCCTCCAAATCAGGACTGGTTATATCAGACCCCATTCCTGGTGCTAAACCTCTACCAGTACCACCAGAACTTGCACCTTTCGTTGGTGGAGGTGGATTAGGTCAAGGTTCTGTAAGTATTGATGTTTTTGTCAAAGTCTATTTACTGTATTTGAAACTGTTTGAATTTTATTTTCAAAGACCTGAATGCTTAATACACAAGCAGAATCCTTGTTGAGTAAAAAGGAGTATTTTTGGATCTTCCTTAATGATGCCAATCAAATTACCTGTTTATGCTACTAATTTTTAGAGTTATGTAACACAAGAACTATCATCCGATCATTCCTGCATATCATCTAGAGGACTTCCCTGATCTCCCTACAAAAGTTCAAATTGGTTTTAATAGTTTTCAGCCACATCCCTTGTGCAGCATTGTAATTGGGGAAAGAAAAGCTGACTTCAGAGTTGGAATATTATTGAGGCATTGAGGGTCTCAGCTGCTGGCTGGAGAGCTGGCAAGAGACCCACATGACTATTTTTCAGGAAGGTCCTGTGAACCACACGCCAATTTGGGAGTCATAAAAAGGGACAGGGGGGTTACCTCTCAGGATCCCGACTCTTCCTGATGTTTAGCCCCTTGATCAGACACTGATTGCCTTTGATCAAGGGGTGCACCTGCTGGGGTGACAAACAGCTGCACAGTTTGGCTTGTCATGCATTCCACACGACAAGAGGTTTAACAGTAGTTGGGATGTGGAAAGGCAGCAGGATTCAAATGCAACCCTGCCCCACATAATTAAATGCCTTTCCTGCCTCCAAGCTTGCCATCAGCGAAAGCACAAGATTCCACCTTGTAAATCTCATCTGCTTCAACATGAGCATCTTGCTAACTAGGTGATAAATTGTGCAGGTCATTCCTCCATCTCTTTCCATTAACCATTTGACCTGGTGGTGAGAGTAAGAGGGTACGCATTAGATACGTTTGTCCAGCGTAAAAGGTCTTGTGGAGGTTGGTTAATCCTTTTAGGAGCCTGTTTTCCTAAGAGCTTTCTCTCCTGAAATTGCACATGTGTTTTCTTATGGATCGTTAAAGTTTCTTTTTCATTCTTGGAGTCTTTCTGGGACCCTGATCAGATGGAATCAAGTGCACAAATGGGTCTGAAAATTTGTTTTTGATGCAAGCCTTCTTGTCATTAAGTTAAATTAACCTCCTTCAGTTATCCAGTGTCAGTGCTTGTGAAATCTGGACAAGAAGTGCCATTTCACCTTTTATGAAAAGGAAAATTATTAAGTATTGTTACCGATTATTTGCAACTAATAGTCGTAGTACAGTACAGTTTTAAACTGAGAAGACTTTCAATTTCTAAATGTTTAGGTAGGTTCAAAAGCTGTTGCTTTCTTATTCACTGACCACAGGACAGGTGTAATTTTTAGATTTGAGTTTCCACACTACTTGCAGTGTATATCTCAATTGAATGGAAATCAATTTTGCACTGAAACACCAAACTCTCCAAATATCAAATCATTCATTTATTGATTCTTTGTCTTCGGTTCCCTTCTTATTAAGCTGTTCGTAGTCTTTACCTTATTGTCTTGCAGATAGGAGATTGTGGCTGGAGCTCGAGTTTTGACAGGTTTCCTGTTGGGAATTAGTTGGTAGAGGATTTTGTCCATGAGTAACTATGTTCCCTGGAAGTAATTGATGCCTGCGTTATTGGTTTGTTTGACAACTACAGCGACTGATCTAAATTATTCTGAAGTGTTCTTTTAATAATGGATGAAGTTGGTGATTGGTGTACTGTGGAGGAGCCTCTTAAATTAAGGATTTTTAATACTGAGGTTATGAGCTTTCTTTGTAGGTGAGTTCACATCACTGATATTACTCAGCTATACAGCTGTCTTCAAAATGTTGACTGAGATAGCAGGAACTGCAGATGCTGGAGAATCTGAGATAACAAAGTGTAGAGATGGATGAACACAGCAGGCCAAGCAGCATCAGAGGAGCAGGAAGGCTGACGTTTCAGGCCTAGATCCTTCTTCAGAAAATCCTTCTTTCTATACTGTGAAAAAGACTCCTAGTACAGTCAAGAGTACTCTTATTTTTTAAGCTATAGATAAAGCTTTAGTGCTGTTTCATAATGAAATAATGGCCTGAGCTCATACGAACCTGAATTTAAAGAACAGATGCCTAGGTGAGCCTTTCACCCTTTTCCCCATTGTTTCCTTGTGAATTTTTTCTAATAGCTCTAATAATAAGTGTATTGTTTGAACTCTCTGGCTTGGGGTTTTTTTAGGTCTCATCAGTTTTCCCTTGCCCTAGCCCAACAATGTTATTCTTAACTGCTTTATTACAGTAGCAAGAGGAAAAATAACTAACTTCATCCCAGTTGGATAGTGATTCCCAACAACTAATCAGGGAGTGGCAATGACATAAATTGCTTGACATCTCTGACACACAATCTATCTGGGAAGTATTTGCACAGTGCAACATACTCTCCAAGGGGATTAATTTATCGCGCCTTTATTAATCTGCATAATGTACACTTCATGCATTTTTTTAAGGGTTAAATACAAGCATAAATTGAAGATGTCACTCACCATCTATCTATCTAAACAGTGATTTCTGTTGGTCTGTCCCCAGCAAAACTAGAATATATTGACCGGTTATTTACACTAAAATTTAAAAGTTCTTTGAATCAATTTCAGTAAAGTGCCTGCATTTGTGGGTTTATTTCAAGATTTAATTAATTTTGGTTTAGTTTGCTTTCTCTCGTTTGGTCTTTTGGTGCATTGATTTTCTGAATGTTCCTTTAGATTTAAAGGTAAATAAATTTTGGTTAATCGTATCTGGGTCACTTAGAAGAAGCTAACTTATCCATTCTATAGCCACTACCTTTGAGTTAATAGATAAGCGTTCTGTTTCAATGGAATAAAATTCTGACTAAGTATTTGTTTTTGAATTAATAGAGCCAATCTCTCTGGAATTGTATGTCCCTAATACTTGGTGTTTGGAGTTAATAAATAACGTATTGTAAAAGAATTGCTGATGGTATAACCAAATTTCTTTGTGGTTGACTCATTGCAGACATTACTAACCAAACTGGTAGAATAAATAATGTAAAACCTAAGGCTTACTTGTAGAAACTGATGGAATGTGCTAGCCCTCAGATTTTCAGAGCTTAATATTTGGCTCACCACCGCCCAGTTTGTCGCTGCAAAGTGGGCTGTTTTATGGCCAAAATGGTGTCCATGCTATATGGACATAATTCAATTCCAGGCTGTGCTGGATGCTATTTTGCTAAGAGCCAAATGAGAGGCATCCTTTACCTGCATCACAAACAGATGTTAAGCTGCTAGCCTAATCAAAAAAGGATAGAACAGCTACTTTACTCCTTCATGCAACTTTGGTTTGCATACCAAGTGCAATGCTAATTGTTTCTATTTGCAACTAACATTACACGTCATGGAATGAGAAAAGTTAATGCTCATCTTAATCTCTGCCACTCTGGCCTTATTCTTGACTCTGACCTCCAGGTATTATCCTGTCCTATCCTGATCATCCCAAGGTCATGCCTTCCCAATTGTCTGCTTTTATACCCCTCAAGCCCTCTAATCTCCCCCACTCCTCCAATTACATTCAGAAACCCAACCAGTAATATTCCACAGTTCCATCATCTTTCTTAGTGATTACAAAATCTGTGCAGGCTGCTACTGCTATTCCTTTTGAATGATGAGCTCCAGGACTTAGAATCCCGTACTCATCAAATGTTATCTATAAAGGAAACTTAACAAGGACTTGCATAATTTGTTAACAGTAAGTTATCTAATTTGTAAGTCTGAACTCCATTCTATGCAGATGAAATTTTCTTTTCAGATCCTAGTAACGAAGCTAACAAAGCAAATTATTAACTCCACTGGAGCCTATTTAAATTTGACAAATGAACAGGATTATTATTAAACAGGGGCAAATCTTCAAGGCTGATGAAAAATGTACAACATTGAAATAATGGAAGGTTGTTAATTTTGGGCATATGCATGTACAGGGATATCGAATATGTGTTGTCTGTTTCAAAAATATTATTTTTACTTTTATATAATGATAAATTAGATTGTATTCCATACTTGATTACTTATGTTTTCTATTTCAGCGCATGATGGGCCAGGATATTCCATCAGTGCCCAATGGTGACCTGGCAAATGCAAATTCTGCAGACTATCAGCAACCTGGCCAGCCTGATGCCAAACCAAAGCCTCCTACACCGCCCCAACTTCCAAAACAACAATCTGATGTCTACTCAAACACCCTACCCACACGCAAAGCAATGCCATTGAAAGCCAGTCCTTTGTCAGGTGAGTGACTGCAAGTTACTGGTAATATCGAGGGAAATTAAGCAATGATATTGGCGTGTGTGTGTGTATGTACCTAAATAAATACCGTTCGAATATAAAAGTAGCCTGCACTGACTTGTATGTTTCTTTAGTCAAAACTGATATTTAACTGGGTGTGGACTTCATGCAAAATGATTGTGAAATGTACTCATCTTCTTAATGCAAAGGAAGTTTTTTTAGTGTTGTATCAATCACCTTAATAGTTAAGGCTTTCTTGCCTCAGAGGTTATCTTTCATCCTAAATCACATAGAAATATCTCCATTCTAGTTGTATCAATATTAATATTTCAAAGTCTCACTGCTGTTAACTTTTACATCCTGTCACTTATACAAATAATTGCACTTAATTTCATAATGCTGCACTGTTATGAATACGTTAAAGTCACTGGTTTTCAGTAGCCAGCTATGACAAAATTTCTAGACATTGTCTTTTATTATTGTCTCGAAGTTTTCACCAAAATCTGTTAAAAGTATGTTGAACGAATAATTTTTGATCATAGAATTCTTACAGTGTGGAAACAGGCCCTTCGGCCCAACAAGTCCATACCGACCCTCAGAGCATCCCACCCAGACCTATTCCCCATAACCCACCTAATCTGCACATCCCTGAACACTATGGGCAATTTAACATGGCCGACATACCTAACCTGCACATCTTTAGACTGTCAGGGGAAACCGGAGCACCCGGAGGAAACCCACGTAGACAGGGGGAGAGCATACAGACTCCACACAGACAGTTGCCCTGGGTGGGCCAAGGGTGGAATTGAATCCGGGTCCCTGGCGCTGTGAGGCAGCAGTGCTAGCCACTGTGCCGCCCCATTGCATTTGCATTGGATAAATTGCATGTTCAGCTTAGAACTGACAAGCATGTCAGTCTGATGAAGGGTCCCGACCCAAAATGTTGACTTTCCTGCTCCTCTGATGCTGCCTGACTTGCTGTGTTCTTCCACCTCCATGCAGTGTTCCTCCAGCTCCACACTATGTTGAAGCAAGCCTGTAACCTTGTGGCATGGGATTGAAGCAGGCTTACTTCTTTGCTAATACAAAAGCAAAATACTGAAGGCTGCTGGAAAACTGAAGTAAAACCAGAATTGCTGAACATACTCAGCAGGTCTGAGTTTTGACAAAAATTTACTATTATTCAGGGTGACTTTGTTTCTTTACCAATGCTGTCTGTCCACAGAACTTCTAATATCTTTTCTTCTTCTGTACTAATACTTTGTGCTCAGCAAAAGTTTCTGATGTAGAGCTTGCCTTTCATATTGTTAAGATATATGGCAGTACAGTCACAACAGATACCATGCTGTATAAAAATCGAAAGAACTGTGGATGCTGTAAATCAGGAAACTTCAGCAGTGGATTCCAACTGAAGTTTCCAGATATCATGCTGCCATATTTATACATGTCACAGTATCAAGGTTGCTGTTTGGGAAGGATTGTGCTGCTATTTTTGAAGTTTCTCTTAAATTGAGCTTTTGAAGTGAACCTCTAGTGAATATAGTACTAAATATGGATTAAAGGTGTCTACACACCTTTACCATAACTGCAGCATTTTTTATCATTACAGTCCAAGAAGCAAGATTGCTACTGGTTGGTCTTGTATGCTGATACTGTCCGTGATATGGGTTCCAATGTAGGCGAAGATGGCATTTGACTTACAAATTAGGCACTTTCTTGCTATTTACTAACCCAGTTAACCTCATGGCCCCTGGCCATTATTATTAGATCTGTAATAAAGTATTACAATTCTAGACCACCCTGTATTTATGCACTGTCCTGGTAGTCCAGCAGTCATGAATTCAAATCATCATTGTACCAAGGTATAAAACTGAGTCCACTAAATCTGCTACTTTACTACATGGCCCTAGCCATTGAAAGCAGTGAAAGTTTCATAGAAATCCTAATTACTTCCCCAGTGCTCTTCAAAGGAAATTATCTGTCTTATGTGGTCTCTCCACATGTGACTCTCAACCAATATGACTGTTCTGATGAAAGACTATTAACTTGAAATTCACTTCACAAGTACTGCCACAGCAGCTGAGTATTTTTGGTATTTTCATCTTTTTGATCTCAGCCTTCCACAATCTGCTGTATTGTACTGTTTTGTTCTTTATTGCCTCTAGCATTATTGCCCCTAATAATGGGTGATGTACGTTTTTTGACAAGGCTCTTTTTAAAAAATACTACTATGCTTAGGCCAGGGTGAAACTGGAAAACAGTGAGAATGAAGCTTGGAAAATTAGAAATATTCCTTTGTTTTGTACCTAATGTGACGTCACGTTTTCTTATTCTTCAGCCGAGACCAGAACTTTACCCAGATCCAGTTCCATGGCTGCTGGGTTAGAAAAAAATGGAAGAACCAAAGTGCAAGCTATTTTCTCACATCAGGCAAAAGACAATAACACACTGCTGAGCTTCAGCGAAGGTGATGTCATCACGTTGTTGGTTCCTGAGGCTAAGGATGGCTGGCATTATGGAGAAAATGAAAAGACGCGGATGTAAGTAACATTGTTTCTGTGTTCATATTTGCTCCCAGTTTCATTTTCCCTTTCAACATTGTTATGCTTTGTAGACCTTACAACAGCTTGTTGACATTATGGACAGGTGATGTTTTGTTCTGTATAAGATTTTATAACCCAATAATTCTATCTCTCTTCCTAGGAGAGGATGGTTTCCCTTCTCTTACACTCGTGTAATGCAGGGTGGATTATTGCACAAGTAAGTAGCTTTTGAATGGTGCCGTTCTGTAATGAGTCACTCTGAGAAGTGCAAACACAGTGAAGTTAGCATTCCTTTCTAGGATCTTTTGTTTTGCTGAGTGCTAAACCTTCTCATTGCACCAGTTGCATCTGACCTATTTGTAACAGCATATTAGTATGGCAGAGTGTGCCATGACAACATGAAGACCAACAATTAAGATTCAAAGTTATACTATTTCTGATAACAAAGCTTTTTATATACACATGTTCATTGCATTAATTCACTTTACCTGTGTTTATCAGGTTTCAGCAATGATTGAACAAGCAATTTGTTTATTTATTAATTAATTTCCAAGTTAGTTTCCTAACTTTCCAAATTAGAATACCCACAGATGCCACTCTCTTGACCCAATCTTCTCGTTGCAGCCTATGTTGCTTATTGCTCTCCTGTTAATGACAACTGCTGCCATCCCTGTTGAAGTTGATCAGTCTACGTAGTTGGTCCAGAAGACATGTCATTTGTTATATTATTTTGTGCTATCTTACACAATTTATGCTTTCAGAGAAAGCAGATGATAAAATAGAAATGTCTTTTGTTGCAATGACAGTAGAGAAATTTCCAAAGAAACTACCTTTGAATCAAAATTAATAACAGTGCTGACATTTTCAACTAAATGTTTGTTAACATTCCAAAGCCATGTATTAAACAAAATATACTGTTTAAAATCTGGTTATGTTCACAACTTTTATGCTATCTGGTAAATACATGGACTTAACATAAGTTGTATCCACCTGCTTTTTCAGGCCACGTAATTACTAAAGTTAATGTACAACTTATGCAGCGGACTTTGCTACAAATTATTTGCAAAAAGTGATTTATCTTTAATATGACTGCTTTTGAAGTGCCAAACCGTTTATTTAAAGTAATTTCACATTGCATTATCCATCTTGTCCAGTTTTCTTTCAGGTGCTGCACCTATCTTTTAAAACCCATTTAATCTTTGGTGTGGTGTGCACCATTCACAGCCCTTTAATCTTCTGGTCTGCATCTGCTGTTCAAAGCCGTTTAATTTCTGGTGCTGCACCTGTTTTTGAAAGCTATTTCATACACTGTTCAGCTTTCTTCAGTAGAAATTGGTCTCTGACATTCTTTCAGCAAGAAAAAGAAGCATTGCAGTTTTATTTCTTTCTACTCATCTCCTTTATGAACAGGCTTTATAAAAGTTATCAAAGAAACTTGTGATGCTGAATGTCAGTGAATTATGCAATAAGGATCTAGAAACGGATGAAAGTTATTCTGGTTATCACCTGGCATTTTAGGTCCATTTTCTGTCATGGCACCAAGTCTGTCAATTCCTGCTGTTTCTTCATAATGTCCATTCTATTTGACTGTTTGTTTGAACTTTTGCTGTGCGCATTTATATAAGTGAACATCTTGGATGTTATTTCATTACTTGAATTTATGTAAACTAAAAGTCTTGGAGTTGCATGGTAAATGAAAAGAACTGTAAATCGTACTAATTGCTAGTTGTGCCCAGACCAAATTTGGAGAAGGAATTTAGCAGATTTAACCAGATCCCAGAGTTATTTATATCTTCTTAAGTAATGTTGAGAAGTAAATTAAATGCTGAGATTTTGTATTGTCTTTCTGACAATATTTTCAGACAAGTGACTTGTGATTTCATTTTGCCTTGCTTGTCACACTTGATTTGTAATCTATTGAATTTTTCTCATGGCTAGATTTATTAACTAGTTTAACTTGACATCATTTTCCCCAATCCAATCAAAAAGCAGCACTTAAATTGACTAATGATTAAGCTCCTCCTAAATGATCATTGCTATAGATCAGTTAGTTGGTATTCCTGGAAAATGCACCGAATGATCAGGCCATAGTATCAGTTAGGTATATTGACAAAATGGAGGAATATAATTGACAGGAATTGTTTGAACTTGGAGATCTTGATCCTGATTTAGGAATAGCATCTTGCATTCTGGGGTAGCTGAAGTATTGATTTGTTTTCATCTTCCAGTCCAGAACATCTAAAAATACCCAGAGTCAGCTCCTAAACCTGCTAATTTCCTTTCATTTCAGATCCTGTATTTTCAGATAGAATACCCCCTATTTTTAGTGGGGCATTTTCTATTCTAAATACTTTTCAAACGTTTCAGAAAATGTCTATCTTGGAAAAATAATAAACATTATAAAGTAGATTTATTTTTAGGAAAGTTGATTCCAATAATATGGAGTTCATATCATCAAGAAATTGTTGTATGATTGAATTGTATTGATTAATTCTCCCTGTTCTGAAATGGGAATGATTGCAACACTACTTCAGTCAAAACAAGGTGTGTTAATTATAAAAGCTAATATCCAGTTTGCACTGCAACAAGCTTCTTAAGATGGGTCATATGCTTTTCAATGCGCACTGTCAATTTGGCATTGCTGATGAGTCCTCAAGACAGCAAATTTGTTGTCCTCACTGACACTGAAAATGCAAGGTTACAGGGATAGGGTGGCGGTCTGGGTGGGCTGCTCTTCAGAGGGTGGATGTGGACTCTGGGCTAAATGGCCTGCTTCCACACTGTAGGGATTCTATGATTCTATTAAGTATAAAAATGCCTTTGATACACTTGATTGTATCATTTAACACCACTTTTATCTATTCCCACATATTAATTTTGCCATGTTTTGTATCATGCAGTCTGAACCATATAAAAAGCTGTAGCACTGGGAACCTCCTGCAGAAGGAAGATCTCTCCATTCCTCCACCTGACTACAATTCAACTTTAAAAATGACATCTCATCCTCTGTCCAGCTCAAGTACTTTTAAACCCAGGCCTTACAGTATGGCAGTGCCAGGTTTCTCACAGGTATTTATAATCATGTTTTGAAAGTAATTGTTGACGTTCGGGCACAGTTCAAGCGGTAATGGATCATCAGTACATTCAACATCCCATTCTGTTTCCTTTTCATGGTATTCCAGTGCAGTGCCTAACAGGTGGTGCTTGTTTAGCAGACCAATAACCACATGTTGAATTAGGCAATAAAAGACCTTTAGAAATTTATAAGGGTTTTTATTGTAAATCTATAGTTTAGGACAAACACCAGTTTCCACTGTTCCATTCTAGATCCTTCCACTGTCCAGAAGCCCACCAAACTGGGGAAGATCCCAGTTCTTCAATACAAAGTCCAATAAGCGTCACATATTCTCAAATAACTCTGAGCTGTTGTGATTTACCCTTAAAGCAATCTGCACTTTTAACTAACACAACCACCAGCCAATTTGTATTACCACCAATGTTCAACATTACCCCATTATTTCTTTCAAAGTTAAATGTGAAATTCCTTACAAATTGCATTTTATGATATTGTACTGTTTTGGGATATGTAGGCATAGTGTAAGAACAAGAGTAGTCTTTTCTACCATTGAGCCTGTTTCACTTTTCAATTAGATCATGGTTGATGTTTATCATAACTCCATACACCAGCCTTGATTTCATAACTCTTAGATTTTTATTGAGTCAAGGTACTATCAATTTTATGCTGAAATTTTCAGTTGATCTATTCTTGCATCTCTTTGAGGCTGGTTCCAGTTTTCTATTGACCCTTATGCACAGTGAAACTGAACAGATATGTTCCCAGTCCTCCTCTTTGAAATGGTGGAGCTTTTGGCCCGAACCTTTTTTTACAGTTATCTTACATCCCACATCAATATTTTTATGACATCATATATTTTATCTGTGACTGAGCAACAATGATGGAAAATGTGTAACACAAATGCAAAGAAAGGGCTTCAGTCCATGATGACATTTAACAGTGTGTTGATGGAAGGCACTACTGATGTGACAGTACATCTCTGAAATGGGGCTCAGAAGAATGAGTTTCAATAATATGGTGTTTTGTCATATAACAACATGAAAACAATTGCTTGAAAAGGCACTTGCTTGTTTTATCAGTAAATATAACTGTATAACTAAAAGCCCAGAGTAAACTTTGAACATTCTTAATATTCTTCTGCAGCTTTTGTAAAAATGTGCGATATTTAGATCTTAGTTTATAATTTGAAAAATTGGGCATCATCAAATGCTGTCTTTGGATAATTAAGCAGTACACTCATAACTTTCAAGTTGCACATATATTATCAGCAACACAGCAGAGCTATTGAGTCACTACTATTCAGCAGAAGATTAGTTTGCTCATAGCTGAGTTTCAAAAATATTCACAAGAGAAACAGAGTGACCTTCAGGATTTTAATTACAACATGGTGATTGCACACAGTGGATTTCTTCATGCTACAGAACATACTTTAATCCAAATTTCTAGGTCATCTGCTTGTTATATATTGAAACAACTTAATAATCTGTTCAAAGACTGTTTAAAAACCTGGTCCATTAAGTTGTGATTATCAAAAACCAGGAGTTATTTATGAATTAATTAGTACTGAAATGATTTTCTTTCCTGAAAGGGGAGTGAATTTCTAATAATCAGACATTTAAGATATTTCGAGAATGTATGGAGTTTCTGCAAATTTTTATAGAAACTTTACATGTTACCGTAATGAAGATGCTGATCTCTATTTAAAAGTGTTTATGTCACTGTAATTGTTCAGTTGGTAAAATTTTCAATAAATATCTTGGCTGATCTACTAAGTAGATTTGATCTCAAGGATTTGGGATGTGTCAGTAGACATTTTATTAGCTACAAAGATTTTTGTGATTGAAATACTGCAAACTGTGATAAACCAGATATTCAACTACCTTTATCCTAAGTGGAAAACTACAGCATTGAATAGCTTTTTACTTCTTTTTAAATTAAGATAATTAAGTGAACCATGTATTGGATTGAGCTGCAGTCATCTAAGAATCAGAAGCTTGTGGGTACAAGCCCCACACTATGGTGTGAGTTCCTTAGTTTATACCTCTTGAATACTTAGCGAGTGCTTCATTGTCAGAGCCGATGCCTCTCAGAAGGTTAAATTGGTGTAAAAGGCTACTTAGCCTTTGTTTGGAGAGCAAGGAGTTGTCTTCCCAACCTGAGTAGCATTTGTTCTTCAACCAAAACAGGGTAACTGGTTATTGTCCGGAAGAAAGGTCACTGGACCTGAAACGTTATTTCTGCATTCTCTCCGCAGATGCTGCCCGACCTGCTGAGTTTCTCCAGCAATTTCTGTTATTGTTAACTGGTCCTTGATTGCATTACTTCTCGTGGATCCTTTTTGCATGCAAATTGGCTTCTGTATTTGTCCCCATTAGAACACTGTCCTTCAAAGTAATTATTGGCTCTGAAGTTCTTTTGACATCCAGAGTGTGACCCAGATGTATAATCACAAATTCTTTCTCAGTTTTGACTATGTTGAAAACTCATTTTTGGAAGAAAATAAATATTTCAGATTGGAGTTAGGGTTGCATGTTGGAGTGTACAATATGAAAGTTGAAACAATGAACACTTGATGTGCATTCAGATTCGTCATTCTGACAAATTGGTAATAAGACAGGTTTGCAGCAGAATAGTGACTGAAGATTTGATACTGACATCTAGTGGACACTCTGGTAATACTGAATATTTCATTCTTTCCAGGGCCCGAAGATCGATAATTCAAGACTTTCTTTGAAGTAAGTTTTATTTTAATTTAAATTTGTAGTGAAAAGTTGCAGTGCACATAATCATAAATCAAACACTTTTTTTGTAGATTAATTTTATAAATAATAGATGGCAGGTCAAAACCAGGCTGGTTATAAAAACAAGAAAAGCTGGTAGTACTCTACAATTCAAACAGCATCTGTGGCAAGAAGCAGCGTTGAGGTTTCAGATCGATACCTCTTTATTACTGTGATGAAAAATCATCGCCTGAAATGTTAATTCTGTTTCTCTGCATAAATGCTGCCTGGCCTGTTGAGTATTTTCAGCATTTCTTGTTTTTATTTCAGAGTTCCAACATGCATAGTATTTTGTTTTTGTAAGCCAAGTTAGCTAGTTATTTGATTCCATATTGGGCAGAGAGCATAGAACACAGAATTGTACTTTTGTGAATCATCAGTCTCCACCTGCAATAATGTTGCAAACAGTCATCTTTGTGAATACTAAATTGTTGTCAGATGTATCATCTGAAAGTAACTTTTATATTTCATTTTATTCATGTTTTGTAGAAAATGCTTAACTTGTAAAAAGGGCTGTATATCTGATACGCCAATATTGGGATTACCAATTAGTGTGACATTTTATTTTAAGTTTTAAAATTTTCCTAAATGTAATTTTTTTTTCTCCTGCCTTTTTCTGAACTGTTGGTCAGAATTATTCCATGGGTTTTGATTACTCATGATCAAATCTTTCACTTAGTAATGATCATAATGTCAGTAGACAATTGCACAGCTGGAGCCAATGAAGAAGAGCTCGGTTCTGTCTTTCCCATGACTTTGCTTGCAGCCTTCCCTTTGGTGGTGAGCAGGACCTAAATGGGTTTCCTGTTGCTAACCCAAATTATCCTGGAGCCATATGTGGTGGCATGACCATCTAGGCCATATGCATCACTTCCACTGGATATTATTCCTGAACGAATGTTTGAAGGAAGGCTGCCTTCCATTGCTAATAAATTGATGAAAAAATTGCCTTCATATTAATTATGTTATATCTGAATTTTGTATTTTGTAGTTTGATTTTTTTCCCTCCCAGAGTTTTGCAATTATAGGTTCAAATCGACTGAATTTTTTTCATTGCAGTTCTGATGCCGAGATTGAAAGGTTTTGAATTTAAACTTCTGCTACATATAAGACCTCTCTAGATTAGTAAGTTGGGCATACCATTATGCCAGTCTGACTTTTATCACTTTGTCTGTCGCTGGTGACAATCACTCATTTCCCACTGTGGCTTCACAAACGGGCAAGTTCTGTCTCACTTTCTCCACAGTCCTGAGTTCCATCTGTTTCTGTGTTTCATACTAGCCAAAAAATAAGTATTATTGTTGCATTGTTTTGAAATGAGTCAAATATAATACAGGAATAGCTCTTTCAACTCTATTTCAAATTTAGGATTGTCAGAACTTTATTATCAGGGCAATTACCTCCAGAATCTGTCATGGTCCTCTAATGATATTGTTACCGTGCTGTCTGCCAGCATTTATCTTCCAGTGTTTGCTATTTCGTACTGCCTCCCAAGTGATTGACAGAAACTATATTTCATGTTATGTGGCTGATCACTGCCATATTTCTTCCCCTCTGAGGTAGAACTCCTTCTCTTGCATAAGGTTCTCCATCAAGTGAGATCTATCAAAGTACTACATGGAAACAAGCAGGAGAGTGACATTGGAATTACCAACAAAGCTGGCTAATAAACAAACAGCACCTTAAACATGCTGAATAAGCTTTACCTAAAAGATTTATTATCAAACAACTTCTTAATTTTGAGGATGTGTGCTAGTTCTATTTTCCTTTTATTATTGTGCTAAGAAATAGGCTGTTTTCTGTCATAATTTCACAAACTACATTGCTGTCTGCCTTTTGGGTCTCTTCACTGTTGCACTGATCACGTACATGCTTCATTGACTCAGGGCGTTGACTCACTTGATTCTGTGATTCATTGCTGACAGCTCCTTTGCTTGTCCTCCTTTGGCATGTAATTTACTGACTGATGTGATTATTTTTTTCCCCAATGGTTGTGTTACCATTTCAGCACGGCAAGAGCAGATGTGTCATAGAAAAATACTGACAGTGCAAACTGCAGCCATTGATTGCAGCTTGCAGTGTAACTTCATGTTAATGATCAGCTGATGACTTTCAAAGAATTATCTTAAAGATTTAATTTTCAGTTCCAAAATCTTTTAAGCAGAGAAATTAAGTTGCAGAAGAGTCGCTAAAACCTGAAGCGTATAAATGTTTTTTTTTTGATGCTCAGTCATGATGCTTGATTATTGTACCAGCCCCAATGTTAGGTTGATGTAAATTGGGCATAAGTTCCACACTAATTTTAAAGTCTGAATTGAAATGTGTCCAATCAATGAGAAATCCATCTGCCGAATGAGCCCTGGTATAAATTAATCAATTAATTAAGTACTTGTCTCCTATATAACCTAATGTGATGTTAGGTCAGAAAACCTAAAAATCTGGTCTAGTATGGGACACAGCAAGAATGTACATATTAGGTACAGAGACATAGAAAACCACATAATCTGTAGTACGTACACATTTTGTAGCTAGTTCAAAAACAGTGTTGAACACCTTCAAAGAGCAGTGATCCTCTAGTTTGTCAGTTGCATAGGCGTGCCAGGATTGGCAAAAAACAGCAAGATATGTTTTCTCAAATACATCTTTTACAAAAAGAACATTCAGAAGTGACACAATAAAGTAAAACATCAAACATTTATAAAAGGTATAATCCTCATAATACAGCACTATGTCAGAATTCTTTTGAAATTCAAGTTTTTAAATTTTGCTGTTAAATAAACTACATTTCATTTTTCCTGTGACCAGATGCAGAAAGGCATTTTATATTTACAACAAGCAGATCACATCAATTTTTATTGTTTCCATTATTCACAGCAAAGTGATGCCAAGGGGTGCCACAAGCTCTTGCAAGCCGTTCTGTCATGGTGTCACTGCTGTGTTACTATAAATAATCCATTGCATTAACATGCGTTCTCTCTTTCTCCCCTCTTCAGAGAAGCTGTTGCAAATGTCAAATTGAAGCCAACCAAAACAAATGACAGATCAGCTTCTAAAGTGAACTGACTACTGACTCTGCAAGGTTATTACACTGTACGCTTGCTGCTGGCAACAGATGCCAAAGATGTCTACATCTGAAACTGCATGACAACAGTGTCTTTAGATTAGAATTGACCCATCTGGAGATGGTCACTAAAGTTTAGGATATATCAATTGCACATATTGCTACGGAATTGCCACTTTGCAATCCCACCCTCTTATTCCTTACTTTATATTTTGAGGGATTATGTGGAGGGAATTGTTTAATTACATTTATCTGACTAGGGGTTTGTATGGTGTTTGTAATTTGTGTTTAAGAATTAGCCGTTAGTATTTTTTTATTATATACTTTATACTAATCAGCATATAAAACAATATTTTATTACCTAGCTATTTGCGGGAATTGGTTAAATGTCAACGTGTTATAGAAACTAGAGTACTGCAAAATTGAGAATTATTAAGCTAGTTATAAAATGTACAGTGTGCTTAATTTCTAAATGTATTTCAGGAGAAGGAGAGTAAAGTAGAAATCCGATTATAGAATTTAGTGTATATAACTGAGCTAACTTTAACCCAAAGTTACCTCAAAGTGTTAAAATTTTAATGCCGCTGTTTGATTCCTTGCTGTCACCAATAAATCTTCCATACCTTTTTGAAAAGAATAATTACTCAGGTGATGGCAAAGGCATTGTATAATCTGCAGATACAGGAATTTGTACTTTTTGTAGAATTTTAGATTTCACCTGTTTCTTTTCCACCCCAAACAAACAACACAAAATAGCTATCAAAGATGATTTCACATTCCAATTTTAGTATGTGTAAATGCTTCCTTTTGCATTTTTCTTTAACTATCAATGGTGGTAAGTTAGTTGAGCAAGTAAATATATAACTGAAGTCCCTAAGAAGGAAGCCATGCCTCTGTGCTAATGAGACTGATAAACAGGAAGCATATGCTTAGGGAAACATTCGTGCTTTTGCACAAACCTCAGGGCGCAATGGATCAGAAAGAATATATTACGCCTTCTCTCACATATTTAGCAGTGTTACTTCTAAATGGGAGAAGAATTGGAATTTATTTTTGTTCTGCAAGTGGAGGAAAATTTTGCAGGTTTCAGGTGTGGCAGTTATGTGATGTGATAGTCATTTCAATACAGCAATAGTTGAGTGGTGACACCTTTGTAAATGGAACATGTAAAGTTGTGTTGCCTAGGGATTGTTTAGACACTGAGATAACCAGTATTAATGAGCAAAACTAACACACTCAATGGGTCACTTTCTTCTCATGAACGTAAAGTGTTCTGTAATCTTTTAAGAAATTCTATGCGATTAGTCAGTTATGTAAAAATCTTGTTAATATATAATGTCCCATTTATCAAATTATAAAGAATCAAACTATTGTCATCATTAAGGGAGCAGTGGTTAACTATTTAAATGCTTTATTACAAGAACCAAATGAAATTTGTAATTTTCTATGAGTATATTATGAGTAAAGGCAGTGGATTAAACATTTAAAAGAAACTTATTGTTTCGGTCACTTTGATTTATCTTGAGCTACTTGTAGATGCTCCGAGATAAGTAGCTGGGAATTAGACAATTACTGGGGCTCTTGTGTCTATTTTAACAAAGCAATGAATACCAAATTCAACCTGTGTTAATATTTATAGTTATTTCAAAAACATGGCACTTCCATTCTTCCTAGTCTCTTATTCTGTGGTATGGTGGAGAATTAGTTACAGAAACATATCCACTTGCCAACTCAGTGCATTTAAACCCTCATGTAAAATGGCCACCATGTTTTTCTTCAGTTCTTTATTAAACCCTCATGCTTTTCCTTTTGACGTTATTGCAGAAATATGGTTTACTTGGTGCCTTTCATTTTTACATAAGCTTCATAATGTAGTAAGACATGCCAAGACTATTGTTTATAATCTGTATTGTAATGCAGATTTCTACAGCTGCCACTATTCCATAAATCACTATGTTTTGTGAATTGAATTGACCTATTTGAATCATATTACTTGTAATCAAAAATGATTTTGATAGTAACTTATGCAAAATAAAATTGTTTCACTGTTTAAGAACCCTTCTCATCTTTACTTGTCTTGATGTTTTCTAGTTGAAAAGTACATTGTTTAGTTACTACACAATGGTCACTTTATCATTAACTCATATCTTCTCCTCCAAGCTCCAGAAGCTGCAAATTATTCTAGTCAAATGAGTGGGTTACAATTTGTCTGTGACTTAACTGTTGTGTGTTGTTCTGGAAGACTGTTAGGATACTCTCCCTTTTGAAAACTTATACTTGCTACCTACTTCCAAAGTAAACACAACTTTGATTTGAAGGCTTACGATGTGCAATAATGTGGATCCATTTATAGCATTTCACAGTACCACCATATCATTATTTACCCACTTATTGTTTTAAAAAAAGGTGTCTCATAATTAAAAACAGTTTCACTCCAGTTCCCAGTTAATGCTTCAATACAACAATTCAGATTACAAAAAAAGTGCTTTAAAATCATGGAAGTATTAAGTTATAAGGAGAGGCTGGGACTTTTTTCATTCGAGTGTAGGAGGTTGAGAGATGACTTCTGTGAAGGTTTATAAAATCCTGAGGGGTATAGAGAAGGTGAATGGCAAGTGTCTTTTCCCTAGGGTGGGGGATTTCAAGACTAGGGGGCATATTTTTAAGGTGAGAGGAGAAAGAGTTTAAAAAAAGCATGAGGGGCAATTTTTATTTTACACAGAATGGTTCGTGTGTGGAATGAACTTCCAGAGGAAGTGGAACATGCAGGTACAGTTACAACATTTAGAAGGCATTTAGATAAGTACATGAATAAGAAATGTTTGGAGGGATATGGGCCAAGTGCAGACAAATGGGACTAGTATACTTTGGGATTATGGCTGGCATGGACTGGTTGGACCGAAAGGTCTGTTTCCGTGCTGTATGAGTCTATTACAAAAGCATGTTTGGCTTTGTTTTTCTCCCCTGTATTAATGAAGAATATTGTAGGTGCTGTAGATCCAAGGTTGTATGCAAGGGAATTACATGGGTAGTTGGAGAAACATTTTCAGCATTGTGAGGCTGTGTTTGAAGTTGAATATGTCAGCATTCAAGGTTAAATTGGATAAATGGGTGAAGAAATAAAATGTGGGAAACCTCAACATATAGATATCCAGAGCTCCACAGAAGACCATTTTAAGATGAATTCTTTTCATAGAATTAAGTGGATTTACTTTGCAGGGGGAGAAAAGCTTGAATTTAGACAGAGGTTTTGACAATCTCCAGGATTTAAGGGCAGCTAGTTGTATTGTAGAATTTAAAGCACAAATTGAGCACACAACAAGTTCTCTCAAACACTAGAATGATGACCAGTAGATTTGTATTTAGCAATGGTTCCTAAATGATACAATTGGCCAGGGTGCCCATTAAATTTCACTCCCAGAGGTAGGGTTGAGAGTTCTTTTATATCCACTTGAGAGAGCAAGTGGGGCCTTATTTTAAAGTTCATTCCAAAAGGCAGGACCCACTTAGTACAGCAGTGGAGTGTCAGCCTAAATGTGTGCTCATGTACCTGCTGTGGGACTGAAAGAAATGCAAGTAATGCAAACTGAGCAAAAGATGAACATGGTGCCAATTTGCCTTCTGTAGGACTTTGCTATTACCTTTCACACATGCAAATGTTTTTTCCTCCACTGTCTAGAAGTAAACAGAAAATAGGAGTCTCTAGAAGGAATATATTAGTAAACAGTGTAACATTTGCATGAGCTTTAAGTCAGCGCAAAACAGCAAAATTCTTTCTTTGGGTATTGTAGTTAAAAGCCATCTCTGGAACCTGGTCTGGGGCCAACCTTTGAAGTGTAAGGTGCTTTCTGTTAATTAGCCTTCCAACCATTATTGAGTTGGTAAAGAATGGCACAAGGTTCTAAATGAAACTGACCATTTGAAAATTCCTGCTTTCTTCTTGTAAAGTGAGAATATACCCAGGTTAATCCAGAGAAAATCTGGTATCTTTATTACCACAAAGAAAGGAAGAATTCTTTCTTTGTGGTTAAATATGAACATTGTTATTAAAGAAATGGATTGGGTAAAATAATCTTCCTAAGAGTGGATATTGTTGCAGATTGATGCTGGAAGCAGCTGTTATAAAGAACAGATGTGAGCATTCAATGTTGCCTTTAAAGTTGACTTTATGTAGTGACCAATTCCATAGATGCCAGTAATTTACAATCCAAAAACAACAGTAAACTGGAAATGATTAATCTCATCAGGAGCACTACTTCTTCAAACATTTTGAAATCTGCCTTGTTTGTTGGTCAATGAACAGATTGTGAATGAGGCTGAGCACACGAAGAAAGGTCAACCTAATTGATATTAAGTCTTGGAAATATTGTTTAAGTAGAAAATTGACTTGGAAAAAGACAAATCAATGTGCAAATAATTTTATGAGGGAATGAACAAGCATTTAAACAGTGGTTATAAAATCTCATGAGTTGGCACAAATTTTAAGCTATCAGATATTTGTGTACTGAACTATCTTTGAGATGACGTGCTGTGGTGACCTTTGGTATAAAGGAAAGCAATAAATGGCTGTGACAGACAGGATTTTATTTAAGTAAGTCTAAAGAAATTGTATCATCAGCTGAACCTCCAAGGGGTTTTTCACTATTGGTCATCTCACTTTTGAAAATCTTTCAAAATCTATGCTGTATCTGCAAATATCAATTATAGGTGGAATAGCACTTAATTTCAGATACAAGATATTTGGAACAAAGTTTATTTGGATGTACTTGATGGGAAATTTCAACTGATAGAGCTCACAACTACAGAATGCAAAGGTAGAAAATAAAACATCAACTACAAATCGTTACACTACAGCTAATTTTTCTGTCCACACGTTTACATTCTTCTATATGTAATTGCAAAGATAGGTTGATGGCATACCTGCCAATGATAGTTTAAAATATTTTCTTGGGAAAACAGCTTGAGAAGTGTTAGTGTTTCTTAATACAGAAATGTAGGTGAACAATGTAGTGCACTAACAGACAACAATCAGTAGCTTCCCTTGGACCATCTATGCAGATAGTAATTCTTTCCCTGTTCCTTACATTGTCTAATCAGGCTTAGATCTGTGTCTTCCAACCAACAAAGATTCCATGTATCTTGCCAGCTGTTCCTTAATTGAGGATGATGTCTACCCAGAATTGAGAGTTTTGGGCATGGAACTTCATGTGACTAACAGGCTGATTCTCAACCTTCAGATCTTTGGACGTACAGGACAGGATCTCCCACAGGATAGTGGAATCCAGAGTGCTTCTGGATTTGCTTCTTTTTGCTTCTTTCTCTGCCTAGTCATTCAGAAATTGTGACTGAGAGCCTGATGCAGCTTTGATGAGCAGACCGATGCCATTTTGAGCAATTAGCAGCAAGCTGCTTCCAGTCATTGATGTCAATGTTTCCACACTTCAGGGAGATCTTCAGAATGTCTTTGTTGCATTCTCTTTAGATTCCTTTGGGAGACTGGCTATTTGAGCATTACCAAATCCAAAGCCCTACACAATACTTTGTTAGGCTGGGGTAGTGTTTTTTTCTGTTTAAGCCTTTTGGGATGCCTCAACTCTTTTTTCTCTTTGTGGTCCGCTTTGATGGGCACTATGAAGATCTACTTTCTTCGTCATTGGCCAGTTACTGATGCCAACAGATTTGGGTATTCTGATAAGAATCCCACTCTTTCCAAGACCTCAGGACCACAAATTTTAAAGTACTGCATGGAAAACTGAAGCCTTTATAGGTTTCTCTGGGCATTAAGGGTGACACATGACCACTGACTGTACGTTGGGCTGTTATAGATTCTGCTTAAACATATCAGGATTTCACAAATTCTAATCCTGACTGGCACTGGATTTTATTTTTCCAACAGAGCTCCATAACGTCTTGCATTTGACCCTCCGCTTTTGATCTCTGAGGAAGTTGAGCATTATGGGGCTGTAGGTGGTGTGACAAGCAGACAAGAGGAGTTAGGGCCACAGTTGGGTCAGCTGTGATCCTGCTGAATGACTGAGGAGCCAAACAGTCAACTCTTATTCCTATTTCTTAAGAACCTCCTCATGGTTTGCCTCATGTCAGAAAATCAGCAAGATGTTGTTCCTCACTTTCGACTAATGTCATTTATTTCTCTTTTTTTAAATTAGTACAGCTGCTTCCAACACATAGGTGAGGAGCCAATAGCACAAATCTTTTGCACTGTAATGCAGTCTAGAATCAGTATATTCCCACGTATGACCCAAGAATTAACAAGAACCAATTCGTCTTCAGAGGGACCTCTATTGCAACGGTACATTGGAGAACCTGAGGTTTCTGTCTTTGGAGGAGATTAAGAGGGGCCTTGAGTGAGATGTTTAACATAATGTCTGGCCTAGATAGAGTAGGCAGGGAGGGACGGTTACAATTGGAGGAAGGGCAGAGACCCAAAAAAAAACACATTTATATTGACTGGCAAAAGAACTAAAGGTGACATGAAAAGAAAACCTTTTCTCTATTGCTAGTGGTTACAACATGGGAAGAAAGCACTGCCTGAAAAGGTAGATGAGTCATTTTCAAAAGGAATTGGATAAGCACAGGAAGTGGAAACAATGCAGGGAAAGGGTGATGAAGTGGAATCCGCTAAGGTATTCTTACAGAGAGACCACAGTCAGGCCTACAAGCCACTTATCCTCCATCTGAGGGCAGCACAATGGCTCAGTGGTTAGCACTGCTGCCTCACAGCGCCAGAGACCTGGGCTTGATTTCACCCTTGGGCGAATGTGTGGAGTTTGCACATTTTCACTGTGTCTGTGTGGGTTTCCTCCAGCTGCTCCATTTTTTTCCAACAGTCCAGGGATGTGCAGGCTGGTTGGGTTGGCCATGGGAAGTGCGGGGTGGCAGTGATGAGGTGGGCGTGTGGGTCTGGGTGGGATTCTCTTTGCGGTGTCAGTATGGACTTGATGGACTGAATGGCTTGCTTCCACACCGTAGGGATTCTATGATCTGCTAATACCATGTAATGAATCTATTCCAAGGCAG